GCAAAGCTGTTAGAGCGGCAAGGGAAGCGATGACAATCGGCGAGCGTTGTTAGTTTTCGGCACTTCTCGGATTTTCTCCAACAACACAATGTTGTGACGCTTTGTCGTCGCGTCAGTCCTTCGACAGATAGACTCTTTGACATAAAAGCAAAAATGTGTCAAGGAGATTTCACATGAAGAATTGAGTGTACATATATACATACAAATACATACAAATGTGCAAACGACATAAGATATGTATGTCATATATATGAAAGTACATATTTACGTACATAATTACTTTACACATGCATTTGAAAGAAAAATTAAGCATGAATGTGAAATGCCGCGGCAAAACACAATTCTGTACTTTTGTGACGCCATAATTGTGTCAAGAATGAATGATTTTAAGAATATATTATATCAAAATATTTTAAATTATTATTAATAACTCACAATAAAGTAAAAATGAATTAACATAAAATAATTTAAAAATAATAGATAATAGTTCAATAAAAGGGAATATATTTCAAATGGCATATCAATATGCCCAGTTTTGCTCACATATTATATTCTCTTCAATATTCGTCGGTTGGTTATGTTAAGAGAGCGTATGTGTACAGATTCACCGCTGTTATAAAAGCGAAAAATGTTATTTGTTTCTCGTGCATCTGTGGTGAACTCCTTGATAAATTCCTACAAATTGTTCGCTGTCGAACCTGCACCTTCTCATTGTTTTAAGTTCTCTGGTTTAATCAGAGAACTTAAAACAACGAGAAGGTGCAAGTTGAATTTTGTATGATGCTCGATTGGTTGGCTGAAAATTTGAGATCAAGGAGTTCACCACTTTCTTATAGTTTGCTGTTATTTACAGAAATGAGAATTTTAACAACGTTCTCTGACAAAATACGTATCTACCAATATAAAGAGAAAAATGAAATGAAATGAATGAGAAAACAAGAAATACAAGCCACTTCACATATGCCTGATTATTTTTTGCCATATAAACGATTTTATGATGAAAAATTGATAATTATTATTTTTTTGCACAAATGCTACATTGATAAAATGTGAAAGATTATGCAAAAATGATATTTACTATTTCATAATTTTCTAATTTCATTTTACATAATTAATAATTTATGTATGTACATCATAATGTTATATTATATATATATAATATATTATCAATATTTTGTAATTTTTGTGTCTAAATACACAAAAAGTTTAAATGTTAATATATATTATCAATTATCAATAATACATGTGAGCGCACTGCTCTATATGTAAGTATGTATGTACAAATATGCATATGACCGCGCAAAATAAGTAATGCATACACAAATCTACATACATTTAAGCGTACAAATGTAAGTACGTCAGCCAATAGGAAAAATACAAACATTGTTGTACAAAACAACAATTGTCTCAAATAGCATCAGCACCAGAAATCAATATGGCAGCCAAATTGACAAATCCTAAATTTGTAGTAAATCACACCCAACAACATTTTCATTCATGATCGCTGGCGCACAAGCAATAAGCTTAATGTCGTTTCATTCATAAAAGCAAACGCCTTACACATCTCCCCGAGCATGCGTTTGCCTACAAGCGTCATTTCGCGACGATGGCAAAAGCTAAAAATCATAAATTGAACAAATTCCTCTAGAAGGGAAAAGTGACAAACCCTCAAATATGAGTATTAAATATTTAGAATAAAGTGACAACATAGTAAATTTGTCGATTTACAATTCAAGAAACTTTTAAAGAAAATATTCAATATTCCTCTGATTTATGTATACAGTAAACCCCGGTTAAGTATCACTCCTCCAATCCCTCTTATCTGCCGGTGTCTTGCTGCATCTCACTTTTTCTTAATTTTTTAGAAAACGGTAATTTTTTTTAAATACATAGAAATATTTTTTTGTACCACTCGCTTAGCTACCACAATCGCTTATGTACTACAAAGCACAAAAATCTGCATCTTTGGTTTTGGCACTTAACCGGGATTGACTGTATTTGTCAAAGAATTTACGTAAGTACGTTCGAATTTTTGTACACACATTGACTTTGCACTTGCCCATATGCGATGTATGTTTGTAAGAGTGTGTATGGCACATCTCGGTTTTCTACCAACAACACAATGTTGTGACGCTTTGTCGTCGCGTCAGTTCTTCGACAGATTGACTCTTTGACATAAAAGCAAAAATGTGTCAACGGAGATTTCATGAAGTAATGTATGTACATATCTACATAATACATACAAATGTGTAAACGACATAATATATGTATATCCTGTTACATATGTTTACACATGCATTTGAAAGAAAATTGAAGCATGAATGTTTTGAAAAGAAAATTGAAGCATGAATGTGAATATACCGACGGCAAAACACAATTCTGTACTTTTATGACTCATAAAGGTGTCAAGTACAATAATTGAATTATTTTAGAAATATATCAAAATACTTTATTAGTAATAATTTAAAGTATTTTGATATATTTCTCATAATAAAGTAAACATGAATTAACATAAAATAATTTAAAAATAATAAATATAGTTCAATAAAAGAATATGTTTCAAATAGCATATCAATATTCCCAGTTTGGCAACATATTATATTCTCTTCAATATTCGCGTTTGGTTATGTTAAGTGAGCGTATGTTTACGATTCACCGCTGTTATAAAAGCGAAAATGTTATTTGTTTCTCGTGCATCTGTAGTGAACTCCTTGATAAATTCCTACAAATTGTTCGCTGTCGAACCTTCACCTTCTCATTGTTTTAAGTTCTCTGCTTAGAGCAGGAACTTAAACAATGAGAAGTGCAAATTGAATTTTGTATGATGCTCGATTGGTTGGCTGAAAATTTGAGATCAAGGAGTTCACCACTTTCTGTTATAGTTTTGCTGTTATTTAACAGAAATGAGAATTTTAACAACGTTCTCTGACAAAATACGTATCTACCAATATAAAGAGAAATGAAATAAATGAATGAGAAACAAGAAATACAAATGCCACTTCACATATGCATGATTATTTTTGCCATATAAACGATTTTATGATGAAAATTGATAAATTATTATTTTTTGCACAAATGCTACATTGATAAATGTGAAGATTTTGCAAAAATGTATTTTACTGTTTCATAATTTCTAATTTCAATATTTACAGAATTAATATTTATGTATGTACATCAATATGTTATATAATATATAATAATATATTATCAATTATCAATAAATACATGTGAGCGCACTGCTTTATATGTAAGTATGTATGTACAAATATGCATATGACCGCGCAAAATAGTAATGCATACACAATCTAACTACATTTAAGCGTACAAATGTAAGTACGTCAGCCATAAGAAAATACAAACATTGTTGTACAAAACAACAATTGTCTCAAATAGCATCAGCACCAGAATCAATATGGCAGCAAATTGACAAATCCTAATTTGTAGTAAATCACACACCAACAACATTTTCATTCATGAACGCTGGCGCACAATCAATAAGCTAAGTCATTTCATTCATAAAAGCAAACGCTCCTACACATCTCCCGAGCATGCGTTTGCCTACAAGCGTCTTTTCGCGACGATGGCAAAAGCTAAAAATCATAAATTGAACAAATTTCTGATATTCCCTCTAGAAGGGAAAGTGACAACCCTCAAATGAGTATTAAAATATTTTAGAATAAAAGTGACAACATAGTAAATTTGTCGATTTACAATTAAGAAACTTTTAAAGAAAATATTCAATATTCCTCTGATTTATGTATACAGTAAACCCCGGTTAAGTATCACTCCTCAATCCCTCTTATCTGCCGGTGTCTTGCTGCATCTCACTTTTTCTTATTTTTAAAGAAAACGGTAATTTTTAAATACATAGAAATAATTTTTTTGGTACCTCTCGCTTAAGTACCACAATCGCTTATGTACTACAAAGCGCAAAATCTGCATCTTTGGTTTGGACTAACCGGGATTGACTGTATTTGTCACACAGTAAGTACGTTCGAATTTTTTATCACATTGACTTTGCACTTGCCCATAAGCGATGTTATGTTGTAAGAGTGTATGGCACATCTCGATTTTCTACCAACAAAAAATGTTGTGACGCTTTGTCGTCCGTCAGTTCTTCGACGATTGACTCTTTGACATAAAAGCAAAAAATGTTCAACGGAGATTTCACATGAAGTAATGAGTGTACATATCTACATAAATACATACAAATGTGTAAACGACATAATATTATATATGTATGTCCTGTTACATATGTTTACCATGCATTTGAAAAGAAAATTGAAGCATGAATGTGAAATACCGACGCAAAACACAATTCTGTACTTTTATGACTCCATAATGTGTCAAGTACAATTAATGAATTATAAAAATATATCAAAAGTATATCAAAAAGTTTAATAGTAATAATTTAAAAGTATTTTGATATATTTCTCATATAAAGTAAAAATGAATTAACATAAAATAATTTGAAAAATAATAATATAGTTCAATAAAGGGATATATTTCAAATGGCATATCAATATGCCCAGTTTTGCTCACATATTATATTCTCTTCAATATTCGTCGGTTGGTTATGTGAAGGAGCCGTATGTGTACAGATTCACCGCTGTTATAAAAGCGAAAAATGTTATTTGTTTCTCGTGCATCTGTGGTGAACTCCTTGATAAATTCCTACAAATTGTTCGCTGTCGAACCTGCACCTTCTCATTGTTTTAAGTTCTCTGGTTTAATGTTGTTTGGTACCAACGGTTCTGACTTGTCCGCCCCATATATTGCCAATCACCGTTTTCGTTACATGTGGGAAGTTCACGACTGTCACATTTATATAAGTCAATATAACTCGCATATAAACGACGACTACATAATGCAGGTTATACAGTTGGATATTATATATTACAATCACGACTGATATCCGACATGTTAAGTGTGATAAGGATGTAACCGATGATCTACTAGCACGAATTCAATAATTTACGATATCCATAACTGACTACACTTCCGTCGCCGAGGACCAAGAAAAAGACAACTATTCCAAGAAAATCTAAATTGTTTGCTCAAATTTAAATATTTTGTGCTACTTCTCAGCTCTAAAAAGTCGATTGTGAAGTCTCAACAAAACGTATTGGACGTCGAAATTTGGACATACTTTCTAAAGGTTTCATGCAATTGTAAGCTGTAAATCTTGTACATCTGGACGTACAAAGCAAAAAATTTTAGTACATGACGATGTCATGTGTTGCGAACTTGTTTTTAACCACAACTACTCTGTCAGGCTACAAATATCAGCATCCTATATGGTACCGTACAAAGCATTGAGCGGCTCACCAAAATAACTTGAAGTGAAAATAAACGAAAGTGAAAGCCTTTTATCATCTGACGCCAATAAAATACCGGTCAGTTAGGAACATTACTTAGTGAAAATAATCTGATCTGGTACAAATATTTGGCCTCATACCCCATTAATTAATTTTCATCCTTCAGGTTTAGATAGACATTGGTTAATATATTAGATATCTCAAAAAACTTAGATGAGATGTTACGATACAGTAATACAGTTTGATGTCAAAAATAGATTAAATCGTTTCATTACGTTTTTCCTCATATATCCAATATTATAAATGACGTGCTTTTGGTTGACTCACCACACATTATCTGTGTGAGTGCAAGATAATTCTCATGCGATTATGAGGTAAAATTAGTTATGTGATGGATTTTGTGGAATAAAAATTTATTTTACTTTTACTTTCGGATTTTTCGCGCATATTTATATTTGAATTCTCAAAATGTGTGACAAATATTTATTAGTTATTTGTTTTGCTTCAGATCTTCTTCAGCACAATACTACAAAAGGCCCTTTTCGAAAACTTGGACGACTCTTTAGCAGTTGCCTGCGGCAAACAACGAATTCTTCAACTATTAAATTCGTTCTAGAACAGCTTGGTGGTTATCTCCCTACAGGAACGGTTGGTCCTACTTCAATATCATCTTTGATTAAAAAAATGTACAAATTGGGCCCAACGCCGCTAATTGATATATATTACGACTTAAGCTACGGCCGCCGACCGCAAGTTTTGCTAATAATAGGCGGGCCTGGAGCTTCACCCCTAATATTAGAGGTACATAGATGCAAAATTCCATACAATAAAATCACATGTTACATACACTTTTTATATATAATATGTACAGAACAGCATACGCTATTCCGGTCCAAAAGCGCCACCTTATCAGTTTAAAAATGGAGAATATAAACTATTGAAGAAACTACTAGATAACTTTTTACCGAACGAACTGTCTTCTGATCAAAAGTCTTCAGAGAAAGAGACGATTTCCACATTTATCGGTGAACTAAATCAAGTGAGTTTCCGTTATATGTATTCAATCAGTATAATAATTTGTTCCACTTAAGGGGTATTTGCAGCTTACTCTAATATATAATAAAAATAGTGTCATCATACACTCACAACATTTTACACAGAGTTTAATAGTTTTATTCACCTAACGGCTGCTTGTAAAACCTAAAACTAGGGGGACAGTATGCTTGCTGCAGCTGCATTAAATTGCACAGAAACACAAGTTCGTCTACTATTTTCAATAGTACTTGTATAAACTCAATTAAGAATCTTTAGACTCTTACCGCTGGTGGAATATATTCATTCAGATTTGTATTTACTTTTTGAAGGCTTTATATACAGTTTTTAAAACTATCTTAACTAACTAAATACATGGGTACAATATGTACATAAAAACATTAGGGTGGAGCGAAAAAAAACTTTTTTTTTGTTTAGCCCAGGGGTAAAATCTGTAGATTTAAAAATAAGAAAATTTTTGGCAAAAAAAAAAAAATTTTAAAACACCTCAGTGTTAAAGTAAATTTTCGAGTTCAAATTTTTATTTCGTAAAAAGTTTTTGATAAGTGTTCTAGAAGCTGTGGAGAGTCCTCTTTCTGGCCAATTAACATTTATCAACTTAAAAAATTTATTTCTGGCCATTATTGGAGTTATAAAAAAAGTCTTAAATGACCATATGCTTTCCTTAAGCGTTAAAATAAATTTTGAGTCAAAAACCGTCAAATTCGGTATATTTTATATAAACGTGAAGAGTTTAATCCAAAAATAATTTCTTTTTATTCAAAAAAATTCAACTCGGGATTTACTTTAAAACTGAGTGCGCCTCTAGGTGTTAAAAAAATTTTTTTTGGCCAAAAAGTTTCTTTTTTTTTAAATCTATAGAATTTACCCGCCCCCTAAGCAAAAAGAAAATTTTTTTGTCGCTCCATCCTAATAAACATGTACATATTCTTCTGTTAAGTCAATAGGTTTTTACTATCGACTATAATGGAATGCATGCGTATTGCATGTTAATGCATTTCATGTGATTTTTTTTTGTATATGCATGCATATATGTATGTCTTTCATTTCCTTGGCATTGTCGATGCTAAAAAATAAGCATGTTCAAAGATATTTGAACATATTGCCCATGGAAAGAAATTATTTATTAAGATTTAGTGGACTGTATGTGTTTGTTATGAATATGAGTATGTACGTTTTGTATTACCTCAGCATATCAATGATAAACATGTGTGGGATAATCATATGGATTCGAGGACTGATGATATACATATTGTATCGACATCGTATAAGGTGCAACGATCTAACGACATCATTCAGTACGCAATGTACAATGAAGAATTGATTACTATTGAGTATCATTGCATTGCCATTACGATTTCACCAATCATCCATTTCGGTATGAGTTCACCAAATCGGAATGCATCTGATTTAATCAACACAGATATAAATGGGGAAGCGGAGTATGATATTGTCAAATTGGCAGCGACTGTTCTCGCAGTAATCCATTTCGCATTGCAGCAACTTAATTAGATGGAGACAGAACAGCTCATTCAGCATTTAAGCTGCCATTAAACTTTTAAAATAACTTTGATGCCTTGTGCAACATAAAAAAGCAATTATCTATGGCCACAGTGCTGAAACAGTATAAAATTATCATTTATATTTACATCCAAAATAGCACTATGACACATAAATTACCGATTCTGAATTTTTAAACAATCAGCAACGCATAAAATACTCTCGTCGATAATATTAGGTAAAGTAAAAAGTTCGTTCGGTTTTTTATTGATTTTTCAAAAGATGATAACTTTGTGTACATTTGTCCGATTTATTTAACAAGATGCCAACTTCATTATACCCCTCTCGTAGAAGACTGCGTCCCTATTGCCAAAAAACTCGGAGAGCCAATTTTCACAGGCTTCTCTTGAGGCCAACTTCTCACCATTAAGCCCGTTCGCCATGGACAGGATAAGATGGTAGTCACTTGGTGCCAGGTCCGGACTATAAGGTGGGTGCATTAGAACCTCCCATCCGAGCTCCAGGAGCTTCTGTTGTCCTGATGGAACACAATTCGGCCTCTGTTGATCAGAGATGGCCTCTTCTGGATGAGTGCTGCCTTCAAGCGGTCCAGTTGTTGGCCATAGAGGGCCGAATTGAGCGTTTGGCCATAGGGGAGCAGCTCGCAGTAGATGATTCCTTGCCCACCCCACCAAACACACAGCAAAACCTTCCTGGCCGTCAATCAGGTCTTGAGCTTTGACCACGACCGTTTGCGCTCGATGTTGTCATAAGTGACCCATTTTTCATCGCCAGTCACAATCCGCTTTAGAAACGGGTCGATTTTGTTGCGATTCTGCAGCGATTTGCAGATGGAAATTCGGTCCAACATGTTTTTTGCGTTAGTTCGTGTGACACCCAAACATCGAGTTTCTTTTTGAATCCAAGGTTATGCAAATGGTTCCAAATGGTTTTCTGGCGTATCTTTAGTTCCTCAGCAATTAAATAAGTACTCACGTGACGGTCTGTTGCCACTATTTCCATGATTTTATCGCAATTTTCGACGACAGGCCTCCCGACGCGTGGTGTATCTTTGACATCGAAATTACCGGAACGGAACCTAGCAAATCACTTTTGCGCTACACGTTCATTTACAGTATCGGGCCCATAAACTAAATTAATGTTTTCAGCCGCTTTGGCTGCTTTTTCGCTTTGATCGAAGAAAAATTGTAAAATATAGCGAATTTTCTCTTTGTTGGTGTCCATCTTTGACGAGCGCTCACAACGAACTGAGTAAATCAATCGAAAAACTGTCAAAGACAAACTTTTAGCGCGAATAAACACGTTTTCAGCGCCGTATAGTATGACATGATGCGACACGTAGTAACACTAGTACTATGAACAATAAGGCCATCTCTTAGATAAAAACCGAGCGAACTTTTTACTTGACCTAATATATTTATCAGTATACACTTTTTCTTTTTTATTGGCGTAGATACCGCTTCGCGATTATAGCCGAGTTAATAACAGGCGCCAATTCAATATACCAAGTGCACCCACCTTTTTTACCTGCTGGCAAGAGTGATTTTGCGTTAAATTCAGCTTTTATTGGACTTCAGTTTTTCACACATTACTCCCGATAGTACCCTTTATACGATATTAATTATTATTTGTGGATTGGGCAAAGCACACTTAGGTTCCAATCGTCGGCCATGTTTTCAACCTTCTATATCCTGCAAAGAAGCTGATGCATGCACCTTGTCCGTTCTTTGCCGCCGTGCTTGAATGTCTCGCCCGGCAATCCATCAGCCCCAATCACTTTATTGTTCTTCATTGCTATTCGGATCTCTTTAAAGTCGGGCAGTGAAACATCTATTCTAGTCATCGGTTGGGGAATCGGATTCGTCATCTCCAGATATTGCACTTTCATTACCGTTCAGCAGGCTTGAGAAGTGTTCCCTCTATAACTTCAGTATGCTCTGGACATCATCCACTAGATTAGCTTTTTAGGTTCAACAAAAGAATACTCCTATCTTGAAACCTTTCGTTAGTCGCCGCATATTTTCGAACAATTTTAGAGCATTACCCCTGTTGAATACATATGTGTCTCGCTTCCCTCTTCAACTCTCGGTATTTATCCCACCCCGCTCGTGTTGTGGAAGATTACAACATTGCGAGGTAGGCTGTCCGCTTCCTCTTCACAGCGACATGGCAGTCCTTTTTCTAAAATCCAATGGTTTCTTTTGCTGCTCTACGTAAGGGGCTTGAAATGCCGTTCCATAGTTTTCTTATACCGAGTTACTGATGAGTGCTCTCAGAGAACAGGAGTTACTGTCTGTTGTGATTGTAGCTTCTCGACGCCGAACCTTCTTTGTGCTTGTGGACGGGCGTACTTTGCTATACAGAGTCGGATGCATATCTTTGCTAAAACAAGATAGTGGTCCACGTCGTCCATCTTTCACAACATGATCGATCTGGTTTTGAACTTTTCAATCTGCAGACAGCCATGTAGCTTGCGGAATCCCAGCGCACAATCTCGCTAGGCGAGTAGTATAAAGTTTTGTACACATTTATATAGTGGACGGACAGGACGGACAGACAGACATCCGGATTTCAACTCGTCTCGTCATCTTGATAATTTAAAAGGGTGCTTTTTTGGAGGTATAGAACTTTAAGTTGGCGTTACTGTTCAAGATGGCAACCGATTTAACAGCTGTCAAGTGATTTATTCTCAGTTTAGTTTGGCAATTCATCATGAATAGACTCACGCCTGAACAACGATTGCAAATAGTGCAACTTTATTTCCAAAATAATGGTTCTGTGCGGAATACGTTTCGCGCACTACGATCATTTATTTTGTTTAGGGATGAAGCGCACTTTTGGTTGAATGCCTGCGTTAACAAACAAACTGCCGCATTTGAAATGAAGCTAATCCTCAATTGTATGTCGAAATACCATTATATCCAGAAAAACTGACTGTTTGGTTCGCTTTATGGGCTGGTGGAATCATTGGTCCGTACTTCCTCAAAAACGTTGAAGGCCAGAACGTTACAGTCAATGGTGATCGGTATAGAGCCATGATTACTAACTTTTTCATTCCTGAATTGAACAACCATGATGTCCAGGAGGTGTGGTTCCAACGCGCGACATGTCACACAGCTCGTGCCACAATCGATTTATTGAAAGACACGTTTGGTGACCGCCTAACTTCACGTTTTGGACCTGTGAATTGGCCAACAAGATCTTGTGATTAACACCGCCAGACTACTTTCTAAAGTCATTGGTCTATGCGCATAAGCCACAAACGCTTAACCATTTGGAAGACAACATTCGCCTTGTTATTGCCTCTAACTCTAAAAAAACTCCCTTTATATACATAACTCCATATCTAACTCGATTAGCTCTAGGTGATAAAAACCATCGTTAGCTGAACAAAACAATTATAGCAACATGTTATAAGATCATACAAATTTGAGTGGCTGGCAAAACGAACGATTTTGGCAGCAA